CAGAGACGTCTGCGTGGAAATTGCAGGGAGAGAAGGCTGGGGTGTTGGGGACACTCAGAGGGAAAAGCACTTGAGCTGGAACTTCTCGGGCACCGTGTAGGTTCCGGCGTGGCTGCTGTAAGGCACGGGGTCGCTCTGACGGGGTGGACATCGAGATGACACCCAGTAAATGTCATCTTTCCGCCAACTGCCTGATAGCAAGTCACAGCAAAATACCTGTAACATAATCCCGTGGAAAAGCTAAAGAAAAAATGTCTAGGGGACTGCGTATCACACAGGAAACAGCAGTTAACTTTTCAGTGTGAGTTTGGGCGAAAGGGGGCAGGGACGGTGATTTTCAGTTTTTAATTCCCCCTCTTCTGTATTGCTTGAGTAAGCGACAACCACGTATTAATTGCATAATTAAAAACTGAGATTTAAAAATAACTTTGTAGGAGTTAGACTGGCAGGGAGAAAGAGTAAAGGTATTCTGAGGGAGGAGGGAACAGGGGCAGAGTGACAAAAATACAGAGAAAGGACTTAACTCCAAAAAGGAGGTGGTGAGAGACGGGTCTGCAGTGGGCTGTGATCTGTCCTGGCTCGGTTGGAACTGTGTGAATTTTGGAATCTAAAGGATGCTCAGAGGGCCCAAGAGAACCAGGATGGACAACACTTTCCACAAGTTTTATCTAAGCTACTCAAGTGTCCATCTGGGGCTCTACACTCCCCCTGACCCTCGCCCCAAATGGAAAATGCCTCGTAGCAGGGAGGAAGCCACAGGGAGGGAAGTTGCTGTGAGCACTGCTGGAGGAGCTCACCACGGGGGCCTGGGAGGACCCTGCCGAGGACTCTGGCTTCTGCATGGGCTCTCTGGCCCCCGGAGGCCCCGCACCTGGGGGCCAGATGTGCACCCTCACGGGTGTGCCACTGCTGATCCGTCTGTGGCGCGAGACCAAGGCTTGGCTTTTGATCATGGAAAGGAGATAGATTCATTACACACTACAGGATAAGAGGGTCCAGAGCTGGAGCATGAAGAGACAAATGTTCTCTGCTCTTGGCTTCCTTTTCATCTTCCAGTAGACGGCCCCTCCCCACTGGGCGGAGGCTGCGCTGGGAAAGGTGTCTGGCTTCACCCCTACTCAGTTTTGCTCATGTGTCTAGATGCCGCTTCCCTGCACCTATGGAATCTTTGCAAGCATCTGACGTTTTTCCAGGGGAGACGGAAGGAAAGAAGAGAAAACGCATGAAATGCAAGAAGTGACCATTTCGCTTTGTTTCTCACCAAGTTTGATGCCATCGTTCAGGGCAAACCTACCTCTTTTTGTGCGCCGACCGTGGTATGAAAAATCTTTATAGGTTGCTATGAGGGCATCCTGACGTTTGGGGGTTGGAGTGGGAGGGAGGGAAGGTTTATGGGGAAGGGTTGAACATCCCGGCAACGCTGAGACTCTGAGAATTCACCTTCTGCATTTTTTTCTCTTAGGAGAGACCAACTTGCAATGTAACTGGTTATACGAGGATTTCTTCCCAGTAAAAACAGCCGATAGCTTGGTGGTCATTCCTCCCAAGTCATTCAGACCCTGTTCCCACTGTGTCTCAGTGATATTGAAACCACCATCCTTTAGGCTGGGCTGTGAAGAAACTCTTCAGGGAAGCAAATAACTCTTTTAACATAGATCTTCCCCAAGGGAGCCAAAATATATTCCTTGGGTCACCGGGCTTTAGTGGTTTTTTTTAACTGAAGGATCTTAAGCGATACAATCATCTCAAGTGAGGACCTTCTCCACAGAATTTAATATTGCAGACAGAGGAAAAGAACAGCCCGCACTGCCTTTTCAGGTTACTGCTTAGATAGTCATCTAATTATACGGTCATCTCAACAACCCCGTGAGGCTGGGCTGGTGTCGTGAGCCCCTCTCTGATCGATGACATGGCTCAGGGCCCTGTGCCGTGAAGGCAGAGCTTGCCCCCTCCTGTGAGCTCGTGCCCCTTCCTCTTGAAGGATCATTTCACTTGGCCCCGCACCATCCATGTGGATGACAAAGTACTTTCTCCATGGATGGCCACTTAACCCTAATGCTGTATAGTTTTTCTTCAGGACAGTATATGCTCTTTGGTAAAATACTTGTAACTTAAAATTTACTATTTTAACCATTTTAAGTGTACAGTTCAGTGGCATTAAGGAACTGTCACCACCATCCTGTTCCAAAACTTTTTGATCATCCTGAACTTAAACTCTGTCCTGGTTAAACTCGAACTCTCCGATCCCTCTTCCCCTGCAGACCCTGGTAACCTCTATTCTACTTTCTGTGTTTATGAATTTGATTCTTTTCCACGCTGGAATCATCCAATATTTGTCCTTTTGTGTCTGCTTATTTCATTTCACATGTTATCCTCAAGGTTCATCCATGTTGTGGCAGGCATCAGAACCTGATTCCTTTTCAAGGTTGAGTAATATTCCATTGTTTGTAGAGACCACATTCTGTTTATCCATTCATCTGTCAATGGCCATTTGGATTGTCTTTACATTTTGGCTGTTGTGAATAATCCTGCTATAAATATCGGTGTACACATATCCGTTTGAGTCCCTGCTTTCAACTCCTTTGGGTATGTACCTGGAAGTGGAATTCTGAATCCATGGTAATTCTGTGTTTAATTGCATAAGGAGCTGTCATACTGGTTTCCATAATTGCTGCACTATTTTCCATTCTCATCAGCAGTCAACAAGGGTTCCCATTTCTCCACATCATCGCCAACCTTGTTATTTACTTATTTATTTTTCGATATCCACCATCCTCATAGGTGTGAAATGGTATCTCATTGTGGTTTTTGATTTGCGTTTCCCTGATAGATAGTCACACTGACTACTTCTTCATGTGCTTATTGGCCATGTGTATGTCTTTGGAGAAATATCTGGTCAAGTTCTTCGCCCATTTTTTAATGGAGTTGTTTTTGTTGTTGAGTTGTAAGAGTTCTGTATATACTCTGAATATTAATCCATCATAAGGGATTTGGAAATTTTTTTTATCATTCTGTGGAGTGCATTTCACTTTTTAAATAGTTTTCTCTGATGTATAAAAGTTTTAAATTTTGATAAAGTCCAACTTAGCTTTTTTTTTGCCTTTTGGTGTGATTCCAATAAATCATTGCCAAAGCCAACGTCACGATGTTTCCATGTTTTCTCTTCAGAGCTGTATAGTTTTAGCTCTTATATTTAGGTCATTGATCCATTTTGGGCTCTTTTCTGTAGACAAGGTAAGGTAAGGGTCCCACTTCATTCTTTTGCATGTGGATTCTCATCTAGTGCTATATTGTTTAAAGACATGGTTGAAAACAAAACTTGCTGTTTCCTTGGGCATTCTCTAGCAATGCACAGTGGGGGTGTGGCTCATCTGGCATTGTTCCCATTTCTAGCTCACGCTCTTGACCCCCACAATAGGCAGTGGCAGAGGATGGGGCTAAGGTTCTAAAGGGTCGCTGTCTACGTGAACTCCATGTAGACTGCGCCAGACTCCAGAGCGCTTCAGTCACCACCCTGGACACCCTGTACATGTCAGACAAGACTCCAAGAATCCAGGTCTTCTCTACTATTTTTTTTTCCTTTTAACTCTCTTGCAAACGTTAATGAATACAGTTGTAATTAGTTTTGATTGGTTTAATTGGCCATGGACTTTCTAAATGGGGCCATGTGCTGGAAGTGACCAGGCTCCCCAGGACAGGCTGAAGCTCCCGGCGTGGATCCCCTCTGGCAGGCATCACAGTCCACTGAGACGGCTGACTTACGGACCCGTCTCCCCACTGCAGTGTGAGCTTGCTGTTTCCCCCAGTGCTTATCACAGCGCCTGGGACAGACATTTACCAAACAAAGCTGAACCAGAAGCAGTACCTCGTCCTTTCCTCTAAGTCACGTTCATCTGCAAAGGCAAAGATGGGCAGGAAGATCTTGTTTGAATGGCAACACCGTCTTAACTGCATTGCTAGCTTTACACAATGAAGCATAAAGATGCTGCTGCTCTGAAGGACACTGATTAGATCTTCATGGTTTTCCAGAGTTGAGCACTGGTGTCTTCATTAGAAAGGGAAAGGAGTCAACCATGGCAAATTTTAACTCCTATCCATTTTTCAAAGTAGACGGAAACTTGCAGGATAAAAGCCTTAAATTATGCAGCCAAATATGGACTTAAAAAGATTCTGTAATGAAATAACCCTGTTCATAGAAACGATGTTGCCGTAACATCCTTACCATGGTCCTGAACATGTGACTGTAAGGAGCTGTATAGTTTCACCGAAAACAGGATTTCCACACTGTTCACATTTTCTCTAAGTGGGGATCATGTAAGTTTCCCTGCACGAGGGACAGGGCATCAGGGTCACTGCACCTGCCCTATCTGAGAGATCACCTAAAACCAGACTCACATGGGAGGGTAACTGAGCTCAATTTTCAGAATTCTAAACTCTTGATCTGGAAAGCTCTCTTCCATATCATTCTTTCCTTTTCCTTAGGAAATAATGACATGTCCCATCAGATTACTAGCCTGAGCAGGTGACCCGCTGGTAGACAGTCTGCTCTCTGACAGCCTTTCCTGATCTGACTCTGTAACCCTCTCCTGACCCCTTGTGTAGGTTAAGTGGGGCTCCGTTGGGAAAGTCAAGAAGTGTGGATCATGAATATTCACATATTCAGCAGAGAGTTAGCATCAGCAAAGGCTGAGACCCACGTTATCCCCACCGAGGGAGCTCTCCTTTGCTCGCCTCCCTCCCCACCACTTCCCCTGCCTGAGTTACAGTTAGTAGGATGGTAATTGGAAGGCTGTAAATTAAGGTGGAATCTGGTGTTAGCTCAACCTTATTTGCTCATCCATCTCCACTGTAGACCCTGTCCTAGTCGCTGCCTCCGTGGAAGTCAGGGGCCAGTGGAACACTGCCTTTTTTCCCCCAGCTTTCCTGGACTTGACCACACCCCCTAATTTAAGACGGCAGCTCTATTAGAAACATTATGGTCTTTGCATCCTCTTTAGCCCCGAGCAGAGGATTCCCGCAGGTAGTTGGAAGGAGACCACAGACATTGAGGGGCGCTCACTCAGGACCTACTCTTCACCCAGTCTCTCCGGAAAAGTAGTAAGTGGGGTGTGAGTTTGCCTAAACCTTTGCAGTCCATTTTCCTTTCCTTTCCTTTTTGTTTTTAATTCAGTGGAATTAACTGGTAAATTGATGGGGTCTTTTTAGGATACAAGCAACCTTCTCTTTCTCTTTCCACGTTTTTCTGTATTTTCCATTCAATTGTTTAATAATAGTTTTCAAAAACACTTCCTAACCTTGTTGGAATAGTCTGAGATCAAGACCGTTTCACTCTCTCCCCTGCTTTATAAGAGCGAAATCAGGCACGTTTTAGACCCTCACAGATTACTTGTCAGAAACGGAATTTTCTTCCCATACTGGAGCACTTCCAAAGGAATAAAGCTGCAGTTCAACACAGAAATTTCTTTCCTTTTTTTTCTCTTTCACTCTTAGCGAGCCATTGTTTAACCTTTTCAAAATTTCTTTTAAGCTTAGCAGCTTTATGAATTGTTTTTACTGAGAGGAAATTGCTACAGGTTTGAGTCTTGTAAGTCAAACTAGACTTTTTGGGTTTTTTTCCCCCCTGTCTTGTGACTCACAGTTCCCCCGGGTCCTCCAGCCCTGGGACTGTGCTTGAGGCAGAGGGAGTCTGAAGGTCCAGGTGGGCATAGCTTCCCTCCAGCGCAGGGCTGGCTCCCTGGGCAGCGCGGTGGACAAGCAAGGGGTGTGGACGGCCGCTCCCCTCCACTCAGGGATTTTATATCTACCAATCTCACTTTGCTTGTGGCTTCTCATCTACTGTTGAAATGTCTCTGTTACCCTCTTTTAAAGTTGCATTTTATGGAGGTGAACTGTTCCAAAAATGTTTGATTACTGAGATCGAGGCATTCGATTGTCAGCCTTCCTTATTACCTTTTGGGTAAGTTTTTTTTTTAAATCACAAGGCTATTTTCCCTCCGACTTCATACCATTACTGTGCAACTGAAAGGAGAGAGATTTGTTAAACAACAGGACATCGAGGTTCTCAAATGGTAACTGTGGCAGCTCCATTTGATTTGTAAAATGCCTGGCACCTTCCTCAGTTGTGGTTGTGGATGGTACCGCCTTCTCTTCCTCTTAAAGAGAAGCCCCTTTGCCTCTGCAGGCGTGGGCTGTGCAGGGAGGGTCACTGGGCGGCCGCTATCAATGCAGAGTTTCCTCCTTACCTGTTGTTTCTGAATGGAGGGGAGGGAGAGCTAATGAGTTCATGTCTGCAAAGTGCTTTGAAGATGAAAAGACCTTTTCATGTGTTCAGCATTGTAGTTATTAATATTAATATTTGAAGAAGCATGCTGCTTCTAATTGTAAATCAACAACTTCCATCCTTGCCAACTCAGTAGTGAAAAAACAAACAGTGGCGGCGGCCACGCAGCCTCTTCCGTCCTGGTTCCGCCGCTGAGGATGTGGGAAGCCGAGTCTGATTACAGAGAGGGCACCTTCCCCTTAGCGGCTCCTCACACCGAGGTGCTAGTTAGCCAGGTACCGGGAGGTCTGAGAGGAGAGCCTGGGGGAGGGTGGGGAACAGGGTGGAACCCCTCCACATCTAGTCGTCTGTGACCTTCGAGAACCCATTGAGAGCATGGATCTGGGCCAACTGCCTGATGATAGTGGAGTTCAAAGGCGAGTAAGGTCACAGCTGGCACCAACATGGGCTTCGGAGTGGACGTGTGCTTGGGGCTACCAGGGACGGCTTTGTAACTGAGAACAAGTTATCCAACACGACTGTGACTTCTAGTCTCCATCCCTAAAACGTGCATGATGATTTGTGCCACCCACTTCCCCAAGTGAGAGAACGGAAGTAAAGCGCATAGAGCTTTGGAGACTAAGGATGGTGCCCGTGAGCTTGCGGGACAGTCTGGAGTCATGTTGTAACAAATGGGTGCAGGTGCCTCGGGAGGACGAGTCCGAAGGCAGACAAATGCAGGGGAGACCAAGAGTCGGCACCGCCGTCTCCCTAGATTCCTCGACGTGCTGCCTGGTTTCTCACTGAGAATTCAAGCTCTGCTGAGCCTCAGGGTTTCATTGGTTGGTGTACAGATCCATCTTCCACAGCAACTCCTTCCCTAATGACCACTCAGAACTTCCTTTTCTGTGTCAAATAGCAGAAGGGAGCTGCGGGGTCCTTTCTCTCGCCCTCCCTCCCTCCTCCTCTTCTTCTTTCCCCTCCTTCTGTCTCTCCCCTTCTCTATGGAAATCAAATGTATTTAGTAGTTCCCCAAAATAAATGTGGTGGGCAGCAGTTTAGCGGCATTTGAGGCGAATCCTGTGAGCTCCTTCCATCCTGGGCCAAGTTAGATATGAAGGCAACTTATTTCCTCCCCTTTCATCCTGTTGGTTCCTGCTCTACTGACAATGTAGCTTTAGGGAACTCAGCCTTCTATCTAGATGAGTCTCTGGATATAACACCTGGTCCCCTCCACGTCACCCAAGGACGGATAATAACCCCTCACGTTTATCGAGCCCCTGGCTGTTCTGGGACCCTTGGCAGGTGCCTTGCAAGGGCCACTTCTTTAACCTGCAATGAAGCCCTTGCGGTGGGAGCTCTTGTTAACCCCATGGAACAGATGAGGACTCGAGGGTTGGTGCTATGACTGACCTGGTTGGCTGTGGGACCTGAGGATAATGCATGGAATGTGAGTCCAGGGCTTGTGGCTGGAGTAGCATCTCATAGGAACCTTAGCAACGTGGAGGCACTTCCACAAATTGAGGCTACATTTTTCATCATAGACTGATGGTTTGCTTATCCGGGAGAACACTGTGGCTTAGGTCTATTTTCCAGAGGGGAATTTGCAGATTAGTTACTTATTGTTAGGAAGATCCTGACTCTGAAGAAAGACGGCAAGGTCTAGTTGACAAGATCAGTAAGTCTCTCTCTCAGTCCCTCTGGTGACAAATGTTGGTTGAACTTTTCCTCTGTGACCAGCCTTGTGTTGGGTGACAGATCCAGAAGGAGAAATATACAAGTTTCATTTTAAAAAAAAATCAATGTCATTTATTTTAGGAAGCATGATTTTACCTGAAAAGAGATTAAAATAAAAGGTAATTTAATTGTGACGTGATGTGACACAGTGTATGACCGGCTTGGGAGTTCAGATGGGGGGAAAGTGGCTTCTAGAGCAGTGAGGGAAGGATGGTTGCGATCAGTTTTGTTTCTCAGAGGAGAGGGCAGACTTGGTGCTCCTGCTGACCAAGTGCTGGCTGCATCCAGAACTTGGAGGGGACATTTGGGACAGTACTTACTAGAAGAAAGTCAAGCAGTAAATTTAGCGACGATGTTAAGAAATTATTCTCAATGGGGAAACACCATGTATCAGTTCTCAAGAGCTGTGCAAAAGTAGAACTCCCCCCCCAGGATTTTAATCTTTTCAGCATTTTATAAATGTACTAGCTTTTCATTTTGAAATAATTCTAGGTGCTTAAAAAATGGCAAAACATCATATGAAGAGTTCCCAAAAGATTGAAATAGTTTTAAATTGTGAAAAATAGAATGCAAATTACTCTCCTTAAGCATCTTTTGGTGCCTCCGGTGATCCTCAGGCCAGAAGGATTCCTGTCGGTGGGGAAGAGCAGCGATGCCAGTTTCTTGACATTAGAGGCGAAATACCTCAAACCCCGGCTTCGTAGGAAAGGCAAGAAGCCGGTCAGATGCAGCCATCAGCCGGCACTTGGCTTGAGAGGGAGGGCTTCATCCCTGGCCTGACTGGTACTGCAGCTAAGAGAAAAATCAAATTTCTGCTCGTCAGAAGACATCTTCTTGCCTGTTCCTTGGTGGGCTCTGCCTTCTCAACATTGCAGAGTTTAACCAAGTGAGCCCAGACACTGCCTTGCGACTGGAATGGGGTCCAGCACCATCAGCAACACTGAGATTCTGGTAGAAATGCAGGCGGAGCCCCAGCCCTGCTGGGTCAGGCTCTGCTGTAACGTGGCTTCCAGGTAATCCCTGTGCAAACCAATCTGGGAAGCACGGTTCTAAAGCAAAAGCAAAAGCAAGACAGATTTTTTTTTTTTAAAACAGACAGCCCAAAACTCTCACAATATTTTCCGTAGCTGCTTACTACTTCCTTATATTTATATCTGGTTGCCAAAGTGTTATTCCACACAAGGTTCACATTTATATCAGAAAGATAACTGGTTTAACTCAGGAAGCTGCGATATTTTTGCATCTCTGCCGTGCAGTCTCTCATTCAGTTGCTTTGCCACTGTAAGAAAACTGCTTACTTCTTGGTTTGATGCATAACAATGGTACAAGCAGACCACCATTCAACAGAAAGTGTGGCTCTTTTTGCCTGTGAAATTCTTGGCTAAGGCTACACAACCTACCTACAATTATGGAAGGGAATCCTTTTTTGACTATTTAAATGCAAGTCTTTTAGCAAAAGAGAGAAGGTTATAGGCCATCTGGGTTCTGGCTCTAATAGCTGAATAAATAAAGTCTGCCTCCTAGGGCAATAAAAATAGTAATTAATAAAACTCACTATTACTGTTTATTAGTAAATGCTTACTAATGCCGACACTGTGATAAAACAGCATGAATAATAGCCACTATTTATTGATCATTGTGTCGTGTGTGAAAGCAATCTGCTAGGCACTTTTATTTTATATACCCTTCCTCAATCATCCTGAAAGTGTCGGCATTGCTGTCTCCATTTTATGGCTGAGGAAACGGTGAGGTTAGGAAATCTGCCCATGACCCACCCACACGTTCAGTGAGGAGCTTCCGGGCACCCATCGTCTGTCAGTCCGAGCTGCTTATCACCCGGCTAAACACTTACCCTCTCTGGGCTCAGTTCATTCAAATTAAAAAATGGGCAGATTGGATGAGATTTTTTTTCCAACTCCAACATTCATGGAATTTACAAACTCCCTCTCTCTATAAGAATGCCAGGAAGCTGTTTGGCATTACGCTGAGAAATTTGAACCCTAGAACATGGGCAATGCAATGAATGAAACTCCACCGAGAGGAATCACAATCAGACATAGTCCAAGAAATTGCTCGCTGGATTTGGGAGGCTTAAGGCAGC